TATATATATATATATATATATATATATATATATATATATATATATATATATATATATATATAAATAAATACCTGCAGCAGGTGTACAGCGAGCCCCGTAGCCATATATAAATAAATACAAAAATAAATATAAATATAAATATAAATATAAATATAAATAAAAATAAATATAAACATATACCTGCAGCAGGTGTACAGCGAGCCCTGTGGCAGTATCTAAACAAATAGAAATAAATAAACATAAATAAAAATAAATAAAAACAAAAATAAAAATAAAAATAAATAAATACCTGCAGCAGGTGTACAGCGAGCCCCGTGGCCATATATAAATAAATATAAATAAACATAAATAAACAAAAATAAAAATAAAAATAAATAAATACCTGCAGCAGGTGTACAGCGAGCCCTGTGGCCATATATAAATAAATATAAATAAACATAAATAAAAATAAATAAATAAAAATAAAAATAAATACCTGCAGCAGGTGTACAGCGAGCCCTGTGGCAGTATCTAAACAAATAGAAATAAATAAACATAAATAAAAATAAATAAAAACAAAAATAAAAATAAAAATAAATAAATACCTGCAGCAGGTGTACAGCGAGCCCTGTGGCCATATATAAATAAATATAAATAAACATAAATAAACAAAAATAAATAAAAATAAAAATAAATACCTGCAGCAGGTGTACAGCGAGCCCTGTGGCCATATATAAACAAATATAAATAAAAATAAATAAATATAAATATAAATAAAAATAAAAATAAATAAATATAAATAAAAATAAATACCTGCAGCAGGTGTACAGCGAGCCCTGTGGCCATATATAAACAAATATAAATAAAAATAAATAAATATAAATATAAATAAAAATAAAAATAAATAAATATAAATAAAAATAAATACCTGCAGCAGGTGTACAGCGAGCCCTGTGGCTGTATCTAACTTCCTGCAGCATATACTGCATTTAAAGTGTTTAGCTTTTTGGTGTTGTATTAAAACTTTTTCATCGTCGAAACCTCTATCACAATAGTAACAAAAAGGCTTCACGCGGGATCCTCTCTTCTTCTTACGACCCATTCTCTCTTTCTCCTGCTGCTGATGCTGCTGCTGCTGATGCTGCTGCTGCTGATGCTGGTTGTGGTGGTGGTGGTGGTGGTGGTG